AGCTAAAGTATGTAGAGATTAGTTGGTTCAAACATCTGGTTCAACTATACTGTTTCGGACCTAGATTCTCAGTTTGGAAGACAATGAACTGAGTTCTAGATCGCGCGCTGGCTGAAAACCATGGCCGAAAGATCCAAGGTCTGAATCTAACCCCGACACCTTCACCAATCTACTCTGAACATAGGAAACCTTATTTTGCCTCTGCTCTTGTGCTGCCTTCAGATGTAATGGAAGTTCTGAATCGAAAGAGAGTCACAGTCAATTAGGTATTACTATTTTTATCAGTTTCACAAACGTTTACAAAAAGAAGAAAAGAAAAACGTATGAAACACACCAATACAAGTTTGACATTCTGCTGTGTTTGCACAAGTTTGAGGGTCAAGATGCATCAAGAAATTCACAGTTACAACACGAATTCTCGTCAGTTCTCTTGTCCATTGGGGTGCAAAACATCACTAGCACAAGTATCGAAAGCCGTAACTTCCGAAACATGTGTGAAGCGCCTCATTCTTTCGCCAAAATCCTCACGACCTATGCTTATACAAAAAAATCTAAACGAGCTGCATCTATCTTCGTCAAACTCTCTTCTAACTTTGAGTTTACTGATGAACGACTTGTGGTTGAATAAAGTCCGAAAATTAAAAAAAATCGTCTAGCTTGTACACTCTTTTAGTGCCTAACTGCTTTGCCTACAAACGGAGCTTGAGGGCTGGAATACTGCCTAGAGAGAAGAAGTCGAGATGCAGAGGCTGTCTTAAAACCACGGACCATCCGGCTCCAGCAACTAAGCCTACTACTTGTATTGAATGGGCCGTGGGAGTCTTTAGACAACAATATGTTTCACTGGGAAAACTGGCTCGTTCTGCGTGTAATTTGACTCTTCCTTGACTTGGCTTAATTCGTGTAGCTTATATTTAATGACACCTTTTGTCATGCTGGATCACTCACCGAGCCTTGCATTTTCACTGGGATACTTGTCATCCCAAGGAATTCCACTTGTGAATTCCACCTGGACTTGTGTTTCCTAAGTATAACAGCATAGAGGTTTATTTTCCGACTTTTATTACTTCTGACTGTGTTTCTACCACACCAGACCTTTGTGTGCCTCCTTTGAAGCAGGGCCGCTTATTAACCTTAGTCGGAGAGATTGTCAAAATTTGAACTTGATCTGTTTTGTGTTTCTATTCCGCAATCTGGTCTTCTACGACGCAAACCACTGAAGTACTAGCGTCATTCTGAAAAAATTTGTTCTTCTATGCATATCGTATTGTTTGTCAATGTAACTCAATGCTAGGGTGTTTCCATTGGCATAGACGTCATTCAAACAAATTCAAACAAACAAATTACATTATTTCCATGGTTAGGAGTGCAAGTCTGTTGTTGTTTGCTCTAAAACAGTATTGTTGGAAAATGTCGCCCACTTCATGTTTTGATATCAGACTTCTTCAAATCCTAAATTTACTGACGTCTCATATATATCCAGGAGCTATCACATATGTACAATTCATCAAGAGATATGTTACATGATTCCTCCATTTTTGTATATAGAAGAGGGGTGAACTAACAGAGGTACCACAGTCAGTGTTATTTTGACTGATTCCATTAACTACTGAGCAACAAGTTTCAAATGGACCAAGCAAGGTTGTTGCTTTTGGACCTAAAGATATTTGGCATTTTGAATTAAAGAACGTAATGTGTCGTAAATCATGTATCTAGCCTTTTTTTATTTAACTGTTAGATGTTTTGCTCATTATAAAAAGACCGATCAAATACATGAGGTAGATGCTACCAAGAAGGTTTCTATCGGAATTGGTACATTTGCCTCAAGGCGTAGTCTAAAGGTGCTTCTATCGTCAAAAGGAGAAGCCCGTTTTAAAGCCAGAAACAATTGTCTTGCCGGCTTACATCATTCTGATTGTCTCAAGGTAGAATTCTGGTGTTCCTATCAGTCAATAACCATCACAATTATATTAAATCCAAATTGTCAGTTGTCGAAGGATCTTTAGAATCACCCATCTGGAGCATGCATGAGGTAGAACTAAGCTAATTTTGCATTCGACTCGGTTGATCGATCCGTTCTTCTTGATTCGCTCGCCTACCTAGGAATGCTCGTGAAGTTTGTAAACATAATACGTTCTTTGTATTCTCAGACTTCCGGACTTGTGAGAGTGTACGGAGAGCTTTCCAAAAGCTTCCGTACACGGAGCGGTATCTGTCAGAGCTGACCACTCTCTCCATTACTTTCTAATTTTGTGATCGATGAAATAATGTAACAAACGCTGGAGGATATCCAAAACCCTGGCGTACAAATAGCCTGTGAAGAAAACCTTGTCGATCTGGAATATGCAGACGATATCGTTTTCATGTTCGAAGAGGAACAAAAGACGCAAGTATTCTTGGATGAACTGACCAAACTCATCCCGTCCT